AAGTATTTAGTGCCCCACATGGATTTGCTCACCTTGAGAATTTTGAAGAATAATTTTTGATGTTTACAAGGTACATTTCTACTAAACATCAAGCTAGATTTCCCATAATTGATTCTCTGTCTTGATATCTTCTAAAAGTTATGAAGTATTTGTTTGAGGGTCTTGATTTGCAGTAGATCAATCTTATAGAAAAGTATTCAGTCATCAACAAAGAAGAGATGTGTGATAGGTATGCCATCATGACATAATTTGGCACATTCTATGCAGACCTGAACTAGTTGCATTGTTTAGTAATTRGGTGAGGACTTTCATGCCAATAATAAATAAATAAATAAGGCGAGAGTGGGTCTCCTTGACGTARGCCTCTTTTGAGATGAAAGTGGCTATGGGCTTCTCCYCATAATTTGATGGAAAAKGAGGGAGTGGAAATGCACTAATATATTAGATTGCACCATTTACTARAAAGTTCATTTTATGAAGTGTTTCTTGTAAAAATTCCCACTCCATTCCATCATATGCTTTCCACATGTCAAGTTTTAGGGCTATATATCCATTACATTTTTTGAGCCTTYATGATGTGTGCAACTTCCCTTACCAAAAGAATGTTGTCGACAATCTGCCCCTCTTTTAAAAAACCTGACTAAAATGGCGAAATAATCCCTTGCAACAGGTGTTGTAATATCATGACTAGCTTTGGAGATGATCTTGTAGGGGCTAATTGGCTTGTAATTAGTTGCATTCATAGCTAATGAGACTTCTTCAAAAGTTGGCCAATGGCGACTGCATCAATGAGCTCACATGATTGTCTTAAAGACGAGGGAGGGTGAGAGAGTGTATAGTGATGAGGAATCAAAATTTTCATCCACTGCTCCAACTTCCAAACTACTATTTTCTTAACGTTTTTTTTTTTTTGAGTTCGAATGGGCTCCCCACAGAACATGCCCCTCGTAACGAAAAAAACTGTGCCAACACGTTTTCAACATAGTTTGTCTCCGCACATCGAGTCCCAGGTGAGATGTGGAGACAAAGCTCTATTCATTAGACTTGACCAATCATGATCCAGCACGTCAACTCCATACACATGGGGCCACGAAGTATTTGGAGTCCCCAATCCATTGTTAAAAGATAAGACACGTGGTAAAGTCATTCATGTGGGTACTTTCGTAAATGCACCTCCGAAAAGAGACAAATATAGAAGGGATTCAAATACGTCTGTCTGTCTGTCTGTACCTTCAACCAAAAGCAGGTGAAAACTTGAATCTCGCTTCGTGAGGTGAAAGAGGAGCGACTCCAAAGGAACGAACCCCTCCTCCTCTTCCCGCCATCTTCAAGGGATTGAAGCAACGACAGAAGAGTGAGAGTGAGATATGGTACAGTTCCATGAACACATAATCTCAGACCTTCTCGAAGACTCGAATGGAGGTCTAGTCATTCTCTCATCCGGCCTCGCTCTCCACAAACTCATCGCCTCTCTCCTCCTCCTCCACTCCCCATCTCAAGGGACTCTTCTCATCCTCTCCGCATCCCCTTCTCAGAAGTCCTCCATCACCCAATCCCTTCAATCCCTCCAAAACCCTAATCCCAACCCCGATCTTCCCACCGAGATCACATCCGACCTCTCCGCCCAACTCCGCCACTCCCTCTACTCCTCCGGCTCCATCTTCTTCATCACCTCCCGGATTCTTATCGTCGATCTCCTCAACTCCAAAGTCCCCACCTCCAACCTTGCCGGTCTCATCATCCTCAACGCCCACAACCTCTCCGAGACCTGCACAGAGGCCTTTATTGTTCGTATTTTCCGCTCCCTCAATCGCACCGCCTATGTTCGTGCCTTCTCTGATAAGCCCCACGCCATGGTCTCCGGCTTCTCCAAGGCCGAACGGATCATGAAGTGCTTGTTCGTCAGGAGGTTGCATCTCTGGCCGAGGTTTCAGGTCTATGTATCTCAGGACTTGGAGAGAGACCCTCCCACGGTTGTGGATATTAGGGTTCAGCTGTCGCCCCTCATGAATGGAATTCAGAAGGCGGTAATTGAGGTTATGGATGCCTGCTTGAAGGAGATGCAGAAGACGAATAAGGTTGATGTTGAGGATTTGACGGTGGAGAAAGGGTTGTTTAAGTCGTTCGACGAGATCGTGAGGCGGCAACTGGATCCAATTTGGCATACGTTGGGAATGAAGACGAAGCAGCTAGTTTGGGATTTGAAGACTTTAAGGAAATTGGTGGATTATCTTGTCAGGTAATCTAGAAAGTTGCCATTGTCTTGGGTTGTTTATTTGGTCTGGTCGTAATCTTGGTTTTACATACAATCAATCTCTCATGTTTGATTTGCTTAGGTACGACGCAGTGGCTTTTTTGAAGTATTTGGATACTCTCAGAGTGTCAGAGGGTGTTCGGTCTGTTTGGATTTTTGCGGATTCAAGCCATAAGATATTTGAATTCGCGAAGAAACGGGTTTATCAGGTGGTGCGATCGGATGGTGTAAACCTGGCTGGGGAGTCTAAGAGTGTCGCGAGCAAGAGGAGGAAAGTGAAGGGGGATGCAAGTAATGAAAAAAATGGTATGATTTTAACATTGAATGGTTTCAAGTATGATGCCTTAGATAGTTAGATTTTGGTTTACCATAAATGCATTCTCTTGTTTATCTAAGCGAGTTGATTTCTAGGTGCAAGGGTGGGTTGTTTTGATAGTCTATAGTTAGGGAGTTGTCGTCCCCCCTCCCCCCTTAAATCTTAGTATCTTATGCATATAGCAATAATCAAAACAAATAGATTGGTATCAGAAGACATCAGGTTTTGATCATTGCATGTTTCATTAGATTTTGTTAGTTACTTATTTCTCTGGGTATGTAGCTAATGGGGATTCTGCTGGCACGAGTGCGAATTCTGGCATTGTGCTTGAGGAAATTTTGGAGGAAGCACCAAAGTGGAAGGTGTTACGTGTGAGTGAGTGAGTTTCATTTCTTTTCTTTGTAATACTAGGAATAATTTTTAGCTCATTGATTGTGGGGCTCTAGACTAAGAATCTAGTCCCAAATTCAAGCACACATTTATGTTGGAAATGACTTTTTTAGCCTCATAAAAGTTTGACTCAGAAAAAATTATTGTATTGATAACTCAATTTTAAATTTATTTGATACTTCTTTCATTTCAGGAGGTATTGGAAGAGATAGCAGAAGAAAGACAAAATCAAGCTCTGTCAAGGGAAGGAGAACTTATGGTTGAAGGAGTAGAGGATAGCAGCCTTGTTTTGGTAGCTTGCAAAGATGAACGGTCATGCATGCAGCTTGAAGATTACATAATGAAGGGCCCACAGCCGGTCAATATTCCATCTAATATCTTATGATATGTCTCTTTTCTCTGCATTAGATAATTGCACATTCTCATTTGCAGAAATTATGTTATGCATTGTCTTTCTGGTTTATACAGCATCAGCAGCATATCATTGAAGCAAAGGAATAGTTTTATCCAGCTCTTTGGTCCAGAAAATTTGTTTTGTCATTGTGTTGTCCATTTTGCCTTAGTAGGTTATTTATAAGCAATTGTGACATTAGGGGAAAACATTAAATTATCAAATTTCCTAAGTACAATTAGTATTGTATATACTGGTTTTTTATAGGTTTTTATATATATGATTGTATATATTTCTTTGGTCACAATCTAATCTTAGATTTGCGACAAGATTTTCATGTCCAACTTTCTGTATTCAGTAAAAGGCAGATCCTAAATTGGATAATTTGGTTATTCTGAACTTGATCTTGTAGAATTGTTTTTTTCTCTGTTGTCTGAAGTTCGTTATGTTGAGTTGAAATTGCATGGTATTTGTGCACTCTTGTTATTTTAACTGTGTACCATGCTTCCTGCATGAGCAACTAAGACATTTTGAAGTTTATTTTATAATATTCCTTGAGGAGTCTTTTTCTAGGAAATGTATTTCTGATTGCAAAACACACATCATTAGAAAGTGGTTTTTCTGCAAACCCAAACATTATGAAGTGGGTTATTTAAATAAAAAAAGTATCTTGGCTTTAAATTCTCATTGTGGAGCATTGGTACAGCCTGATATGATCTGAGGTTGTATAACAGTAATTGTTCAATTTTTTCTTTGATACATGTGATGATTTATCTTGGCTGATTGTATTTGGTGCTAAGAGTTGCTTTTTATTTCACTCACAAGGTCATGCGAGAAGAGTGGGAAAAGTACCTGTGGAGCAAAGTTGATCTGCATGGCTTACAAACACATAATAGAAAGAAATATAAGGAACCTAAAAGTTTTGGTGTATTTGATGGAAAATTTAAGGAACCTAAAGGTTTTGGCATTCTGAATGGAGTGCTTCCAAGTACACATGGGCAGAATGCAGAAACTGCCAGTATCAGCAAGCTGGAGCGTGATGCCTTATTGGCAGCAGCATCGGGGTTAAGTAATCCAGTAGCAGAAAATATTTCTATTGGAGATAATCCTCCTCCTACTCCTGGTGTTGGAGGATGTGGAAAGGGAAAAGTGAAGAGAAGGGGCAAAAAAGCTCTAGTAAATGCTAAGAGTTCAGGATGTGAAGACGATGTTAAGAAAAGAGAGAAAACCAATAGATCTGAAACATGTATATCTGACAATGAAGGCAAAAGTGGTGAAAATGACCCAGTAGAAGTGGATGATTTCAATAAAGGTGAAGATGGAACTCTATATATACAAAAAGGGTTTCTCCGGAAGCACAATCAAGGGGTTGATGCTAAAGGCTTGACTCATGCTAAGCCACTCCCACCAGTTCATTTTCATGCCCTAGAAAGTGAGCAGCATAATATACTTGATGATCTGAAGCCTTCTGTAATTGTTGTTTACCATCCAGACATGGCTTTTGTTAGGGAAATTGAAATTTATAAAGCAGAAAATCCATTAGCCAGATTGAAAGTTTATTTTCTTTTCTATGAAGACTCTACTGAAGTACAAAAGTTTGAGGCAAGTATTAGAAGGGAAAATGGAGCTTTTGAATCTTTGATAAGGCAGAAGTCACTAATGATTATTCCTGTTGATCAGGTTTATTCCTTTGAACTCTTTTTTTTTCCTTCCATCTTGTAGTCGTTTTATTTTTCCTGTGTTTTCTTGATTTACAACGTTTGTATTGATTGAATGAAATAATTGTTCCTTTATCCAATATTTTGGAAATCAGACCTGGCATTAAAATGGAAAGGAGCCAGGGTCCAATTTTTCAAACTTGATTTGGTTGTTCAACACAAAAACTGCCTGAACTGGCATATTAAAATTTAAAACAGTAAGGTTGAGTGGTGACCTGGTTGCCTTGTTTGGTCAGTTAGGATATTCTGTTTCTGTGCTTATATCAAATGGTATTCTATATGGCATGATATCGGTTCATATGCTAATTTTCTGCATTTGGATGAATTATGAAGCTTCAGTCTGAGATTATTTTGCATTTCTGGCTTATTCTTTTTGCTTCCCTTATATACTGCACATTCCATTGACACTTTTGTAGAAACACTTTGTCTAGCAGACGTGAAGTACAAAAAGTAATCTTGGAAACTGATTGTCTCTTGGGCCCTCAATGTTTATAGCTGCATTTTATTTACTTGCATATATGTAACTACAATTTTGTCGCTTCTATATGCATACACATTACATTCTTTTGATAGGTAACAAATAGATTTATTGATTTAAAAAATGATTAATATAGTACAGGCATATACAAATGTTAAGCTAGCCTAGCTACTTAACACCACATTATATTTACATGCACACTAGTTTGTACAGCCTCTTATCATACAGGGATCCTTTTGTTTTTATTAATGGAATTCATGCTTTACCTTTTCTCAGAAAAAAAATCCCTGTTTACCCCTTGTCTTGCAAGTGAATCAGCTCCTCATCAAGTTGCTTGATTTCCCTTAAGATGTGCCATTATTGCCATGTTTTGTGACTATCATACTTTAGCCACCTCACTACTGTTTTTGGGTCTCCTTCAGTCACTAACTTCCGCATTTTCAACCTCTTACCAATTTTCTATCCTTGGAGGACAGCAAGTAATTCTGCCCTGTAGGGTCCTCCACACCTATAAGGCCTGAGAAAATAGAAAGAATGACTCCTGAACTGCCTCTGAAATTTCCTCCAATTCCCGATTAGCCTGGATTTCCAAGGCTACACCCATCGAAGTTGAGTTTGTCTGATCTAAGGCAGGCGAATTCCAATCTCAGGAGATAATAGATCTAGAAGTTGACGAATTTTCTGTATACTGCCATCTTCTTAATATATCATCACTATTAGAATGATCCCTGTATTCTAAGAATTTTGTTTGACACCCATTTTTTATGTTGTAAATTTAGGTTAATATTTATTTGATTTTTTATGTTTAGATTTGTTATTTAATTTAAGAGATTAAATGAAGTTTTATTTCTAAATAATAACCCACTTTATGGGTCCTACATCATTTGAATTTGAAATGAGTTTTTGTTTTGTTTTGTTTTTTTGTTTTTCTTTATAGTGGAGGTACCTACCATTTGAGTGGGTAGACACATGTTTGACACCCACTTTATGTTGTTTTTTTCTTGATCCAGCTCATCATTCTTGGTGACACAATCTCAATAATTGCCTCCTTAAGTCTTCTATTCTTGCATTTCTCTTCAGGATCCCAAAGATGGCAGCTCTTGTGCATCTTCACATGCATTTATTTCAACAAAAATATCATTACTGTCAGGAAAAAAAAGACATTCACATGCCTATGTATGTGCGTATGAAGTTTTAGTTTTGTCATTTGTACATGCATAAATACACACATGTACATATATGCATGCATAAGTATGTACTTGTGTATACATACATAAATTGTTGTTATTGTGTTTGTTGGAAGATGACCCTGCTATAGCTCTTGGCATATGGGTACAGACTACAGAGACAGGAACTTGAATTGTACCAAGAAAAGGAGAAAAGAGCTTTAACTTTTAATCCCCTTAATGCCTATTGTCATGCTACATTAGCTTTCTTTTATTTTTATTTCTCTTCCTTTCTTTAAACAAATTCCAGGTTCTATCTGATTTCATCTATGTTTTCTTGTTGTATGTTGTTCCTAGGATGGTCGATGTCTTGGATTGACTAGCTCCTATGAGGCACAATCTCTTGCTTCACAAAACTCAGTAACTAGAAAGGCAGGTGGAAGGAAGGAAGTGGAGAAAGATATGCAGGTAGATGATTGTTTGCCTTTTGTGTGAATAGAAGTTCCAATATCTTATAATTCAACGTTAAACTTTGGGATATTTCATTCTGTTTTTGCAGGTTATAGTGGACATGAGGGAGTTTGCAAGCAGCCTTCCAAATGTTCTCCACCAGAGGGGCATGCGCATTATACCAGTGACCTTGGAAGTTGGAGACTATGTCCTTTCACCATTAATTTGTGTGGAGAGAAAGAGTCTCCAAGATCTTTTTCAGAGTTTTTCGTCAGGTCGCCTGTATCACCAGGTGGAAACAATGGTCCGCTACTATCGCATACCTGTGCTTCTAATTGAGTTTTCACAAGACAAAAGCTTCTCCTTTCAGGTAACTATAATTTGTACTTTTCGAGAAATGTGGTAAAGGCTCCTTTTTAATTATATTTTCTGTTTTATTTATTGGATTTATTCATTGGATTGACGTGTTTTTTGGCAGTCTGCAAGTGAGATTGGTGATGATGTTTCACCAACTAACATAATATCTAAGTTGTCATTGCTTGCTTTGCATTTTCCCCGCCTGCGCATTATCTGGTCCCGCAGCTTACACGCCACAGCTGAGATTTTTGCTTCACTAAAGGCAAATCAGGATGAGCCTGATGAGAGCAAGGCAATGAGAGTTGGTGTCCCCACGGACGATGGCATTGTGGAAAATGATGTGAGGTAGGCTGAACCTGTTGTGAAACATCAAGAAGAAAGTGAAGTCCATATAATGATTTCAATTTCTAGGCTTCTTTAACAAATAAAATTCTAGGCACCTGCCTAGGGGGGTGCCAACGCTTAAACAGTCCAAGTCTGATCCAGTCCGAATTTAATGGACAGAGGGACCAGTCCGATCCATATTTTCCAAATGAATTGGATTGGACCCTATCCAACCCAAACTGATTGAAATAAAAGATATCATGTAAAAATGTAGAAAAATATATTAAGTTACAGAAAAAAATATAAAAAATGTAGGGAAAAAGATCAGAAAATTCAGACAAAATATAGAAATTACAGAACGCCAGAGGAGGTGGTTGATTTCCAGAGCTGCAATGGTGGAGTCAGTTGGTCACCGATTGCTAGGTGGGAATGGAAATGACGAGCTTCAATGATAGGTGATACATTGGGATCAAGGCGTTGAAGATCCGAAGTTCTGAACTGGTATGATGGTTTGGAGTTGGGTGTCCAACGGTCTCAGGGTAATGTTGATCCATGGGGTGGGTGGGTTAGATGTGAAGATGCTGTGAAGTTCTATGGTAGTCTTCCTGCTCTATCAAACAGAAAGAGGGTGGCTGGTAGGTCTCAGGGTAATGTTGATCCATGGGGTGGATGGGTTAGCTGTGAAGATGCTGTGAAGTTCTACGGTGGTCTTCCTGCTCTGTCAATCAGAAAGAGGGTGGCCTCGAGCCGAGCCTTTCACGAGCTATTTGAGCTCGGGTCATGAAAAGCTTGGCTCGGCTCAGTTTAAACTGAGCTTCGAGCCGAATTTGAGTCCGATATATAGGCTCATTTGCTAATCGAGCCGAACTCAAGCCTAGTAAAGCTTGGCTTGTGAGGCTCGCAAACCTAGTATTAAATAAATAATTTGTATTATATGCATATATATAATAAATTATTATATATATAATATTTTTATATTTATGTATAATAGTAAACAATTTTTATAATTCTTAATTTTTTGTCTGAAAATTAAAAAAATAATTTTATACATATAATTTTTATTTTTTCAAAAAAAAAAAAACTTGGCTTATAGTCGAGCTTGAGCACAAGTCTCTAGCTCGAATCGAGCTCGAGCCTAATGGCTAATACTATTCCTACGAGCCGAACTCGAATAGCCAAGTATTTGGCTCGGCTTGGCTTGGCTCGAATCCACCCCAATGGCTGGTTATAGGAGAAGATAGAGAACTGGGGCAGTGGGAGAGAGAGGGGAAGAAGAAGAAGAAGGGTGAAGGAAGAGGAGAAGTGAATGGAAGTGAAGAAGAGGAAGAGGGGGAGAAGGAAAATGGAAGGGAGATTAAATCAAGGTTTTCGAACTGCTGTTGACCTGGATGGTCGGACCGTTCGGCTTGGGAACTGTCTAGGCAACTGGTTCCGTTTTACCCCAAACCTGGTTTTTGGCCAAAAACCGTTGAAAAAGTCAACAACCTGTTGACCCGTTCAATGGTTTTGACTGTTTTTTATTTTTAAATTTTTTTAATTTGTTTGTCAGAATGGGCCGTCCATTTGAATTGGACGGTTGGTTCATCGACCTGGAAACCAGTGGCCAGAACGGTTCCGTTTCCGGGCCCTTCTTTAAAACGAAGGATTAAACTGATCTTAGTTGTCCATTTATTCTATTCGGTGATCTTTGAGAATGATAACTCTCTATTGACCAAGGGATGAAGGGTCAGTCCACCTCCATATGCTTAAATTCTTTTTGCTACAAAAATGAGAGGTGCTCGATTGTCAAAATCCAACTTCATACGTGATATTGTCAAAATACATCTAAAGGTATTTTGGTCATTTTAATTATTCACGGTGAGGTCCAGTTAGTAGGAGTTATTTGTCCTGTCATTGTTGTGTTAAGTATTTTTGTTGATAAATAAGAGAGACTTTTATTAAAAGTTAATAATAGAAAAGGTACAAAAGGAGGGGTAAAAAGAGCGCAAGAGTTAAATATCAGAAAATTGATAGTGGAAGGTGACTCTAAGTTGACTATAAATTGGTTGATGAAGGATACTTCTAGTCTGTGGAACTTTCTGAATGAAAAAAAAGAAAGTTGGACATTTCACCCAAAATATGGAAGTCAAGTTTCAATCGATAAAGAGGTGCGCCAACTCCTTGGAAGATTCATTGGCCAAACAAGGGGTGGGAAGAGTTAATTTCTTATGGGCAACATTGTAATCTGAATTGTTTTCTTGGGAGGGTTATTTGTGTTAAGTTTTAAGTCTTACAGTTATAGGGTCCCCTTTGATTTTCTTCATTCTTCCTCTAATATCTTTTTCAAAACAGCAAGCAATCCAACTGGATTTTCACTCTAAAATCTCATTTGGAGACTATTTCCCCATTCAGGCCTACATTATTGATTTCCTGCAAGAGTGTTTTGAACCATATCAACTCACGTTCTATTCTCTTCCAACACTAGCTTTAGCCATGACACCTGTTATGTGTATTATTCTATCTATTTGCTTTCATGTACGTGAATATATAGGAGGGTAAATTGCTTGAACCTCTCCTTGTTTTTGACAACTGCTTAAATCTCTACTATACTTCTGCTTATTTCTCCCTCTTACCTTGAAGATAGAAACAAAACAACCATACTCATTCTATTATTATTCAGGCAGACAGACATTGAAATAACATAAATTTCCCTCAATCTCTATTAAGATAGAAGATTATATTTTTCTTATCTATAAACAAAACGCAATTTCATTAAGGCTCTATTTGGCAAGAGTGCAAATACAAATCTGTACAGTGCAAGTACAAGGTTTAGAAATACCTTATATAAGGTTTTGCACTGGACATATTTGTATTCGCACTCTTCCCAAATTGAGCCTCATGAACATTAAAAGGATACAAGATGATAGAAGAAGCAAATGGAGGTAAAAAGATTCCGGATTACAACAGTGCTCAAAACATTCCACCTCTTCCCACCCCTTTCCCTTTTGCAGACAACTTATCACCAATTTTGAATAACCTTCAATAATCAGCTTTCTAATGTTAATCTCCTTAGCCCTTTGTATGCCTTCCATTGTCACCAAGACCTCTGCTCTAAGTATATGTTTGGCATAAAAAAATGGTGCTGCTGATGTGTGTGGGTTGGAAGCGCCGTTTTCTGAGAAAATGGTGTCTTTTTTTGTTTGGAAATGTTTCTGTCAGGTAGGACGTTTCCTGGAGCAACAACAACGTTTTCTGTTTGGTACTAATGCTCCAGGAAACGTTTTCTGCACTAGTACCCATTATCCAGTGCCACGTCACGTTTATGTTGGCAGCAACGAGCTGCAGCTCCAGGAAACATCAAATTCGGCGTTGCTCCAAGCTATGCTTTTCCGATTTCCAAGGCGTGGCTTGGAGCACTGTTTTTTATGAAAAAACAGTTTCAAACAAATGTCCATTTCCTGGAGCACTGCTTTTTCTAACGTGGCACTGTTTTCCAGAGCAAGGCAACGATGCCAAACAGACGCCAAGTTAATCACCTGGGTTGACGCACAACCTTAATAAACAAATTGTTTGACATTCTCCTATTCAAGTGGGATTACGAAGGGTTATCCCCTCATCGAACCATCCTTTAAAACTTCAGAGGTTCAATTTCAGTCATTCAATGTTGGTAGTTAATTGGCATGCCTAATTTATTTAGTTTGCCCAGCAGTTCTCTTCTTCTATTGGTGTTGGATATCTTCATTATTCAACCTTTGTAATAATGTAAATAGTTTTGCATGTGCACCAATTCAATGCTATTTTTCATTAAACTAATATACCCTTTTTTCTGCATGACAGAGCTGAAACTTACAACACCTCTGCTGTGGAGTTCTTGAGGCGGTTCCCAGGGGTGACAGATTCCAACTACAGGGCTATTATGGATGGGTGTAATAGTTTGGCAGAACTTGCCCTGCTTCCTGTTGAGAAATTAGCCGAACTAATGGGTGGTCAGAAAGCTGCTCGGACGCTGAGGGATTTCCTTGATGCCAAGTATCCATCCATGTTGTGAGTTTAAAAAGTTCAACTAACTTGTACGCAGTCTCCAAGCGAATCTAATTATTGTTACTTTGTTACTTACAAGCCTCGACGTCTTTGACGAGTGACCACACACTCTAAAGTCAAAACCATGAAGTGTGGAGTGTTTCATCTCACCATGGCCCTCCAAATTTTTCCATGACTTGTAATTTAGATTTTTCTTGTGTGATTGTAGGGAATTAAATTTTTTTTTCATTAGTTGATTGTAATCTGCATATAGGGAACTAAATTTTATTGCTTATAGACTAGTGCCCTACCTATTGTACAAAAGGTTGTTTATGTGAAAAAAATAATGTGGGAAATGTTACAAAATTCAACATTAGTTCTTTGGTGTCATGAAAAAAAGATTGTGTGTGTTTTACATTGTAAAGTTTTTAATATGGGAAAGTGGAAATTTTTTATATTTCTTAATTTAAAATATTTTATATTATAAATTTAAAATTTATTTTTTAAATAATATCAATGTAATTTTTTTAAGTTAAATTTAATTTTTTATTTTTTATTTTTTTAAGTTTAGATCTTTTGAATTGCCAGACCAAACTGAAAACTGATACAATCCGAATTGGTCGGTTTTTACTAATGATCGGTTGGTTTCAAGTGGCAAACTCCTCAATCCGATTAGGTCAATTTGGTTGGCTAAACACCTTTTAACTGAATCAACCGATCCGTGAACACCTCTTGTATCAAGTATTGTATTTCTAAGCTTGGATATATACATGCTTTGCAAATGCATGGGTACAATGCAAAGTAGGGAACCAAACCGTGGGGCATTTTCTTTAATCGAATTGGTAGCATCGATTTTGGAAAATCGGTAATCGGAACCAAACCGAAACCAGTTGGTTAACAGGTTGATCAGTTTGGTTAACCATCGGTTTGGTTTGTCAGTGTTTTAGTTTTTATAATATATTATAAAAATATATAAATATATAATAAAAAAATTATTAATTTATAATAATATAATATACATAAATATATAAAAATATATGTATACCAGTCGGTTTGGTTAACCTTTGGTTTTTTATATTGGTTAACCAAAACCGAACCGGTACCTTCAGTTTTTTAAAAGCATCGAATTGAAACCGAATTGACTAGTTCGATTAACCGATTTTTTGGTTTGGTTTTGATTGGTTTTTTTGGTCGGTTCGGTTTTTTGGTTTTTTTTGTTCACCCCTAATTCAAAGATAAAGAGATGTTTGGATGGATGGATATATTAGGGAAATTGCTATAAATATTGCAAATACACTGAAAAATATAAGGTTGAAATAATGATGAATAAAGTACAAATACATACAAAAAATCCATTACAATTAATACATAGGAAGATATATATATATATATATATATATATATATATATACATTACAATTTTGTTGATAAATGAATTAAATTCTCACATACTTTGTAAAGGGAAAATCACTACTACCTCTAAGTTTTAGTAAATGGATTAAAAGACCCTTGCTGTTTGAAATATTTGGTTTTAAGGAAAAGGTAGGGAAAAGAAGGAAAAGACAGGAAAACTTATACAAGGTTTGTACATCTTTCCCTTCCTTTTTCTACTTTTTCCTTCAAACCAAAAGTATTCCTAGGTTTACGACAATTGATTAACTCTACCCTTATCGTTAAAATGTCATCACATATCATCTACATGTGATTGCATGCGACTATTGTAACTTTTTTAAAACTCAGATTTGCCCTTTATGGTCAAAAATGCCCTTTTAATTTTTTCCCCATTATATCTTAACATAAATATTGGAACTTTGGTCAGAGATGTCCTTTAAGACATGCAGTTGAAATTTTATTTTTTGCCAACCTCACTTGTACTAATGAATAGGGAAGGGGAAAAAGTATGGAATCAAGTAATATATATGATTTATTACTTTATTAGTACCCTAGTGTTCAGCGTGAATATTGGAATTTAGGTTTGAGATGCCTTTATGACATGAAGTTGAAGTTTTATTTGCATTCTCATTATACTAATAAATAGAAAAGGGGAAAGAGAAACAGTATGGAATCAAGTAATATATTTGATTATTTCTTTATTAGTACCCTAGTGTTCAGCGTTAATTTAGACACCGATGTGGACTAAGATAAGGCTGTATTTGGTTGTAATGCGAATTTTTTTGCATTAGTACAAATGTATGGGAGTGCAAATGTAAAAAATGCAATTTTTTTTTATTTAATTTTGTTTTGGATTTTACTTCATTCTGCTCCATGTCTTAGTTTGCTGCAATCAAATAAAATAAGCTAAAATTTGAAATAGAAATAGATCAGAATTTACACTCAAATCATTTGCACTGCCATGGTTTTGCATCAGTGCAAATTTATTTGCATTGCAACCAAACACAGCTTAAGGGAAGAATTTTAGAAATCTTAAATAATACTCTCACTGGTGTATTGCTAGAAATGCGCCAATGGTTTATGCTAGATATACATCAACTTTCAGCATTACATGATCTCAATAGTTTATGCCTTGTTGCTTGTATTACTAGAAATCTTAAAGCCTATCCTTTGGGCATTACTACGATTAATCTTGCTGAGACATGGGTTGCTTAGGGAACTCACAAGGCCATGCTTAACTATTGAAGCTTTCCGATATCATTAAAGGAGATTCTAAGTTTGTCATTGACTTTTTAAGGGGTGTCTCGTGGAGATTGAAGATTGTGCTTGATGAGTGCCAATACTTATGTGGTGGTATCAGCTATCATCATGTTTTCGATGACGCTAATCAAGCTGCTGATTGGTTGACTCGATGCATATCACATACTGCCTTGAATGAATCTTTGTTTAGTATTTCAAGGTTGCCTTGGCATCTTATTTTTATTAGGACTTATGATGGTTGGGGACTATTGTAGAACAATTGCTTGTTTTACCAAAAAAATCTATATTTGATTTCACAACTTTAGGGGGTGTTCTGTAGTGTGGATGAGTCCACACCATATCGCAATCCACAACTGTTCTAAACTGTAGATAGATTGTGTGGACTGGACCAGTTCACATCCACGGTGGTGTTCTATAGGTGCTTTTTGATTCCATGTATTTCATATACATTTTATGGGAGATTTACACATTCGATCATAAATGTCTAATTTTTGCATTTTATATGGTAAATAAATTGAAAAAAAAATGCATGGATATATAGACAACAATTGTATTTTTAAATAATTAAAAAAATATTATTTTAAATATAAAAAAATTAAAAAAATTAAATATTTAATATTTAAATAATGAAAAAAGAGTTGAGAACGAGAACCATCAAACTTGTGCTAGAATTAACATTAAAATTTATTATTTTATTGATAAAATATTAAAATTATTAAAAGATTAAATAAAATGAAAGTAATTGGACTAATGTAACACAAGTGTGTTACACTGAAACCTTCTCACGAACCATCCACGACAAAATACTGTGGATGATAAATTAGAGTGTGGTCCGTTCCTGTCCACGCTATTTTGTGGATGGGGACCATTATTCACATACTACCAAACGCCACCTTACATTGTAGGAAATATGAATGAAAATTGGGCAACCACATGGAATTCGGCTTCCGTCAATGCAATGTTCAAACAGCCTTTACAACCTTGCATTAGGAATATCTCCATACTTGTATGTTTTATTTCATAGGAAGATATTCCCAATGTAAGATGGGAAGTGGCTATTCGGAACAGTGTAAGCACGGGCTTGCACTCATGTAAACCGAATTCAGCCACATGACCCGGTAATACTCTTATCATCATCGTAGGTGAGTATTACTCTCATCACATTCCATCATGGGATAAGTAATAGTTTGACCGGGCATGAAATTCTCATCCCAAGTCCAATGACAGTGACCCATGAAGTCATCCGTGACTATGTTAATACTTATTTTCACGAAATGGGACAAACAAACGTGATATGTATTTGAAAATTTGAAGAATAATGAAGGGTGAATAGATATTTCAAGATTTCTGTCCAGCGGCAATATCAATTGTCAGAAAACTTAAAAAGAAATTAAGGAATTAGTTTCTAAAAATTAGGTAAAATTTAAGAGATTTCTCTTTGATAATATTTTTGTTTTATTTTTTAACTAGCGGGGACCCGTGCGATGTATGGGATTTATTAAGAGAAAGCTAAATAATAGAAAGAGTCATATACTAAAATACTCCTTATAGTTTCACGGAGTTACTAAAATCTACCCTGCAGTTAGTGTTTTACTAAAACACCATTTATAATTTGCAATGGATTTAATCAATCTTCCATTAGATGACAGTGAAAAATGACAGTGTTGACTCTAATGTTCATTTAAATAAATTTAATCAAAAGAAAATAAAAATACCATTTTTTCCTTTAATAAGACACGGGCAACCACTCCATTAGCTATATTTGGTTAATTTTGTTTTTCTATACAAAAAAAGTGTTAAGGGTATTTTTGGAATAAAAAATCATGGGGCTAATGGCAAAACAAATACTCCTTAACAAAAGGTTGATTAAGTAAATAAGTTGTAAAATATATGGGATGTTTCAGTAAAATGAAAATTATAAGGTAGGTTTAAGTAAATATGTAAACGGGGCAAGGATCATATTCCCCGTCCTCGACCTCAACTCTAAAATTAACCCCCATCCCTAATCCTCAACGGGGATGGGTTCCCCGTGGGACCCAAATCCCCAAAATATTTTCAGATAATAGTATTTTTTTAAATAAATTTATCTAAAATAAATAAAAATTTTAAATTCTAAATAATGTTTTAAATACGTTTTGATATATAAATAATATAATAGTATGTTTAATATAAATAACATTATATATATATATAATAGTATGCGAGGACCTCAATCCCCATCCCCGTCTCCACCCCGCCAAAACAATCCCCATTCCCAGCCCCATGGGTCAGGGAAGTCGGGTCCTCGACAGTGATGGGGAAAATTGCCATCCCTAAAAGTGGGTTCTAGTAAGTGAGCCTAATAGAAACACATAAGAGTATATAATTGTTTTATATTTTTAACTTTTTAAATAATTAATAATTATTCATATTTTATATACTAATTTTAATAAAATTTTTATAATACAAAAATAACAATAATTAATTTCAGTTAGGTTTATTTATCAAATTGATGAAAACCAACCAACCCAATTAACTTGACCCGAGTTGGTCGGTTTTCTAGTATTTTAGGTTGGCTTTCGTTCAAAAACTTCCTAATTTGACCAAGTTGGATCAGTTTCACTTTCGCCATTTGTAAATCGACCAAAATTGAACGACCTAACCATGGATATATATTAATATTTTAAAATTTAAATATAATTTTTAATCATAAATCTAAATATTAAAATTATTTTTTATTAATTGTA